TGTGTGTGTGTGTGTGTGTGTGTGTGTGTGTGTGTGTGTGTGTGTGTGTATACCACATCTTCTTTATCCATCCATCTGTTGATGGACATCTTGGCTCTTTCCACAGTTTGGCTATTGTGGACATTGCTGCTATGAACATCGGGGTGCATGTACCCCTTCGGATCCCTACATTTGTATCTTTGGGGTAAATACCCAGTAGTGCAATTGCTGGATCCTATGGTAGCTCTATTTTCAACTTTTTGAGGAACCTCCATACTGTTTTCCAGAGTGGCTGCACCAGCTTGCATTCCCACCAACAGTGTAGGAGGACCCCCGGAGATGTATAGTCTTTTTATATTAGAATACTGGGTCTTGAAATTACAAAGGAAGAGGGGAGATATGGAGAGCATTAATATTTAGTGAGTGCCTATTATGTGCCCCAGATGCCTCCCATCTGTGTTACCCCCTGTGGAATCCTACAAATAACTGTGACCTTAGCAGCCCTGACCCCACCTTTCTACCCTACTATTTCCCCTTAATCAAAACCAAGCGAGGTGCTCTTAGATCCTCCTACAGTACTGGGACCCCTCCCTCTGATCACTTTTCACACTTCTTGATTGCTTGTGCAACTGTCTCTGCGCAAATAGACTACAGGCCTCATGAAAGTGGGTGCATCTGTCTGTCCTGTTGACTGCTGTACCTCCAGCCCCTAGTGTGCTTTGAGAGTTGCAGAAGGCATCGCCAGTATTTGCTAAGGAAGGAATGACCTGAGAAGGCAGTAACATGCTCTAGGATAAGGCTGGCATTTGAAATCCATGTTTTTCCCACAAATAAAATATCACAGTGGGTGCCTGGTGGCTCGGTCGGTTGAGCGACCCACTCCTGGTTTCGGCTCATGTCATGATCTCAGGATGTGAGATGGAGCCCTGCTTTGCCTCTGTGCTCAGTGGGGAGTTGGCTTCTCTGTCTCTCCAGCCCCTCTGCCAACCCCCCCTCCCCCCGCTCACACTCTTTCTCTCTCTAAAAAATAAATAAATAATCCTTTAAAAAGAAAAAATCACAGCCTGGTGGGAAGGCTTCTCCAGAATATAGGTTTCCCTTGCTACCTGAAACTTCTCATTATGCCACTTGGCTTTTCTGAAAGACATGTATTGGTGCCTGCTTTCAGTAACTGAAAGAAACCGGAAGAGGATTTTCGCCTGTATGAAATGATACTTGTTTCTTGGCTCTGCTCCATTTCAGCTTATGAAGGGTTTCATTGGGATGCTCTAGTTTTGAATAGTGGGGGAAACCTGAGTTAGTGAATTTTCTAGTCATGTGTTATCAGTAGGTTCTCAGACACGATTTTAAAGTGGGAACATTTCCCATTAAATTAGTATTCAGTTCTTCTGAAAAGGATCTCAGTATTCAACTCAGAGTATTTCGATAAAATGAGAAAGTCTTGGCTGAAACCAAAATATGGTAGAGAACATTATAAAATTTTGTTTCTAATCCCTGGCAGGTAATGATTCTGCAGCATTACCACTTAACCTCTTATTTCGGCACGGTCACTTTAAAAGCTCTGTTTCTCTCTGTGACAGATCTGGAGGCTTCTGAACCAGCTTTTGAAGAAACCAATGGCCCTGAAAATATGCTGGAAAGAAGCTTGAAATTGAAATTTAGTGTTGACGCACTTGGGGGCTACCTACCCTCAGGTTATCCAATTGCAAAAATAAATGGAAATGAAGTACTATGAATTATCCAATTTATCTTTCTCAGTTGAACTTCCTAGAAAAAGTACAGCCTTAATTTTGCTGTGGGTTTGAACTGTTGCCTGGACTCAACATGTTTAAATGTTAAATAAAATATGTTGTTCCTTCTCCGCACAGTGAAAACATTCCAGCCTTACTGCTGGCTAATTACATGGCGATGGCAGGCAACTTCGGGGTCCAGTAATCCAGAAATTGCAATTGTTTGTTAATTATAATGTGGTAGGTCCAAAGTCATTACCAAATCTATCCAAAGATCACTCTGATTCGACCTACAGCTAAAATCAAACAGTTAATAATGTGGATATTTTTATCCTGTTTTTAAGTTGGAATCCTGGAGAACCCTCTTACTTTCCATTTAATACCCTGAGGCCAAGAAATTAAGATGCTGTTCCGGCCACTAGTGAGTAACAGACCAGGGAGACCAGTAAACTCAGGATTCCCAGAGCAGAACACAAAAATAAACAGGGGAAGAAAAAAACAGTCATAGTGGGGACTTTGAACTCCTTTTTGTTTATTAATCAGATCACTGGCATTTACCTTCCATTGGTGTAAATGCTGTAACCGGGGTAATCTGACCATGCAGGTGAGGATCCAACTTAACTGTGTGTGTTCAGACACCTAAAGAAATAAAACAAGACATTAGCGAAGGCAGTCAATGGTTTCTTGCACATAAGGCAAAACTAAACAGATGACAGGTATTACCTCAAGTGGCTGGGAAGACCCCAAATCAAGGTAATTTAAAAAATGACAGGCAAAGGGAACTGATTCATAATGCATGGGATTTTAGATGAAGAAGAAAGATTTAACACTAACCAATACAATTACTATTCTAGTGCTTAAATCTTCCTCACAACATCCCTAGCAAGTGGCTGACCAGAATCTGCTTCAACATCTTCAGGGAGAGGGTCTCATTGTGCCTTGAGGCATCTATTCCAGCTTTAAAAAAGCCAAGGTAATTAACACACACACACACACACATACACACACACACACACACATTCAAATCCTCTCTAAATAACGTCTAAATATATGAAAGCCACTCTAATACCTTACATGTAAATAGTACAGAAAGGTACTGGCCTTAAAATTAATGATTGAATCTTTTAGACCTGCAGTAATTTCAAATTTAAGAATCACTTTATCATCCCAAAGGGTGGGGTTTTTTTTTTTTACAGTTTCAATTCTTCTCTTTCTTTTCTTCTTTCTTCCCCATCTCCCCCTCCACTTCCTCCCCCTCCTCCTTCTTCCTCTTCTTCTTTTTAAAAAGAGGTTTAGTCAACAAGAAAATATAACCTTTTCTCAATTTGTTTTAACCAAATTTAATCAAGTAACCAAACCTGGCAACAGATGGGATATTCTTGGGTCCAGGCCAGGTTCGAACTGATGACCTAGAATTTAAGGCCTATATATCTTGTTTCTGGACTCTGGGGATCCCGAGCCCTTCATCCATTGTGGCTTTTTTGTGTGTGTGTCCATATGATTTCCTTAAAACACAGAGACTGTTGCCAACTCTGAAAAGTGGCCCCAAATGTGTTCTTTGTGGGTTTTGCAAAGGGAATATAAAGGGATGGAGCCGAGTCAGCCCAGGCCTATTTTACTAGCAAGGAATCACCATCTGGTGTAAGATAGTTTCTCATTTTTTTCCTTGAGTCGTGGAGAGGGAAGAGTTGTTTTTCACATGTTTGACAAGGAATTGTTTTTAAAATTTTGCAAGTTGCTGGGCTGAATCCGTCTTCTTTCTTCCAAGAGGCATTTGGGTTTCATTCAGAGCAGCGCTGTCCATACAAATTGCTAACTGGTGCTGTAAACAAACAGCTATCAGACAAAAACAGTTACCCTGGATGGAAGCAAGAGGATTATGGTTGCTTCCACTCATCAAGCAAAACACATTCCCATTAGAACTAATAAAACAAGAGTTGTTTTTTTGGCATGAAGAAGTAGGAGAAATTTTTTTTTCTTCTTTACTGAATTAGGGAAAGGAATGAAAATACAGAAAACAACCATGCATATGTGGAAGGAGACAAGATGACTCCTTCCCTTCGACTCAGGCTTAAGTACTCAGTTTTGGTGATATGCAAGAAGCTACCATCATGTCTTCATAAAATCAAGTATTTTCCTCAGAGTAGCTTTTTATTTGAACATATAGAATGAAACTTATTTAATATTCTATAGAAATCTTCCTGGTATTTCCAAATAAGGGGGCATAAAATTAATCCAAATTATTCTTATACAGAAAAAGGCAAGAAAAAGGCAAAGGCAATTTTCATAATCTATCATTAATAATTATATAAGAAGGAGTAGTATAGTTCAGGATTTGGCTCTCTTAATTTATCCATATTCATGACAACTGCTCAGAAAGGTTCAGATTTCTATCCGGGGAAAAGTGAAAATGGTATCTAAATATAGTAACTCCGGCTACATGTGGCAAAACAAACAAAAATAATCATATGATCTGTTTTAGCCATGGGCAGGGGGGGAAAAAAACATGGAACACAGAAGGGGGCTTGTTGACCACCCACAAACAAGTCAGCAGTGACCGAAGATTCTGACTCCCTAACTGTACCAAGTAAAGACATACACATCCTTCAGCTGCAGGCAACTTTGCCTGGTTGGTTCACTGCCATCAAACAGTCTGGCACACTGTGCTCGATAAATATTTACTGAATGTATGAACAATATCAAAAGCTGCAGGAAGAAAGGTAAGGACCAAAAAAGAACCCATTTGATTTAGCAACAGACATTTTTTTTTTTTTTTTAGCCTAAACGCTATTTATTGAAAAGACCAGAGAAGAGAGAGTTACACGCCCCCTAGGGACAGGATGGAACAAAACAAGCAGTGCAAGTCCACCTCCTGCTCAGCATGTTCTCTTGTTGCCCCACTGGGCCATCTTGTTGTTGATGGGCATCTTCAGGAAGCGGTCAGACTGCATGTAGTTAGCGATCTTCTCCAAAGCCTCAAAACGGCACATGAAAGCCTTCAGATTTGGAAATTCATCCAGGCACTTGGGCTCAAACAGACGGTTCTGATCTAAGACATCATAGGTGAGGAAATCCACAAAGGTGAGCTTTTCTCCTGCAAACCATGAGAATTTCCCCAGGAACAAGGAGAACTGTTTCAGTTGTCCAGGTAGCTGTTCCAAGTACTGAGGCTTCAGTTTGTCAAGGTCAGGGCTATAGCACAGTCGTATCAGCTGCATGTGGAAATCCATTATTTGGTTCTCCATGATGTCCACTCGAATCTTTTCTTCTTCAGTCTCACCACACATATTGTGCTTGCGAGCGATGTAGCGCAAGATAGCATTGCTCTGGGTGATCTTGTTCTTACCATCCATGAGGTAGGGCAGGTTAGGAAAGTCCAGGTCGAGCTTGAATTTCACATCCAGCCATTGGCTTCTATCATAGTCGGGAGCTTCCCCGCACGTGTACTGTTTCTCCTCATAGGATGTATCAGTGAACTCCAGGAGCATGCGGATGGCGTGCGCCAGCCCGCGAATATCCCAGTAACCTAGAACCATGGTCGACTTGGACAACGACATGCCGATGCTGTCTCGGTGCCTTCCAGGACTCGCAACAGACATTTTTTTTTAAAGATTTTATTTATTTATTTGAGAGAGAGAGCACAAATGGGGGAGTGGAGGTGGGGAGGGGCAGAGGGAGAGGGAGAAGCGGACTCCCCGCTGAGCAGGGAGCCCGATGCTGGGGCTCGATCCCAGGACCCTAGGATCACAACCTGAGCTGAAGGCAGACACTTAACTGACTGAGCCACCCAGGCGCCCCTAGCAACAGACTTATTGGTGATCCAGGCAAAGCAGAGTCAGGGGAGTGACTGGGAGAGAAGCTAAATTATAGAGGGGTGGGCTGAAGTGTGAAAGGATACAAAAACAGATACACAAGAAGTAGAGCAGAGCGACTCAGAGCTCCGCCTTTGGAATGAGGCTGCCTGGATCTGACTGCTAACTCTGCCATCTATGAGCTGGGTGACCCTGTATAAGTGGCTTCACGCTGTGCCCCAGTTTCCTCATTTATAAAATGAGGTTAACAATAGTAACCACCTGTCAGTGCTTAGAATAGTACCTAGCCCACAGCAAGAACTCAATAAATGGTGGTTATTATTACAGATAACTTTTAGAAAGACTTCTGTTTTAACTTCCTATTTTGATATAATTGTAGATTCATGTGTAGCTGTGCGAAATAATACAGTGCAACCCAATATACCTTCACCCAGTTTCCCCCAATGGCAACATCTTGCATAACTATACGATAATATCACAACCAGGAAATTGAGTTGGATACAATCCATCTGCCCTAGTTAGATTTCACCAGTATTACATATGTTCATTGTATGGGTATATTTAATTCCATGCAATTTTATCAAATATGTAAGATATTTCTTTTTTCAGGAAGGAGAGAGATGGGAATACCTGGCATGGGTTAAAGAATAAACAAATTTATTATTATTTTTTAAGGTGGGATAGACCTACTTTCTATAAAATGTCTTCCACTGAAGCAAGGGGAGGGGAATTAAATACAGACGAGGATCTATCTTATGAGATAGGAGTAGAGAGCAGAAAGTTAGAGAAATTCACATCTAATTAGTTAGTCTCTGTTATCTCTGAAAATAGAGCAGATGGGTGAGTAGGAACAAATGGGATGAGAGATGTACTCAGTGGAATTGTTGGGTTTGCTAGGACAGAACAAAAGAATCTTCTGGAATGGGGTTATGTAAGGCTGGACGTTTGGTGGATGCTTTTGTAAATTAAAGAGGACAGTTGTTCAAAAAATACACTCGTGGAAAAGCACCACTGTTCTTCAAGGGAGACTAAAATGTTCTGCATAAATCATAGGATTTTTCAAAAAAAAATTTACAGGAAAAAAATTAAATCAGTTGATTGCATTTGATTTCTCTGAGTCAGTACCAAATCTTAATGGGACCCAAAAAGTACTACACATAAAGCAAAAAATATTGATAAATAAAATTACATCGAATTTAATAACATCTCTTTATCAAACACCACCATTTAAAGAGGAAAAAGGCAAGTCACAGAGTGGAAGGAAATATTTGTAAACATATAAAGAATATATTGGTATACAGGATATGTAAAGAATTCCTACAAATTGGGGCGCCTGGGTGGCTCAGTCGGTTAAGGGTCTGATTTCAGCTCAGGTCATGATCCCGGGGTCCTGGGATCCAGCCCAGCATTGAGTCCACATGGAGCCCCTCGTCAGGCTCCGTGTTCAGTGGGGAGTCTGCCTGTCCCTCTCCCTCTCCCCGTACCCAGCGCATGCCCTCTTTCTCTCTCTCTCATAAATAAAATTTTCAAGGAAAAAAAAGAATTCCTACAAATTGGTTAGAAAAAAAGCAGATAACACTATGAAAATAGGCCAAAAATGCATTACGTTCAAATTAAAGTCATAATGTGATACCACACATACTCAGAATGATTAAAATGAAAAAGTCAAATAATACCAAGTATGGCAAGGATATTGAATAAATATAATACTTATACACTACTGTGAGAATGTAAATCGGTATACCAACATTGAAAACTGACTGTATCCACAAACATTTAACATCCATATAACAAATGACCCAGGTGTTCCATTTCTAGGTATATATC